CAGAGCTCCGGCATGATCCAGTAGAACATCATCCGCTAGGGTCATCATTCATGATTGCTCAACAAAATTACGAAACGTGCACACCAACAAGCCAGACATCTACCGAGGATGTGAAACCAGTCGTGGTAGATGCGAAGCGCATTCTTGGTACCGACGATGCTTCGTACTTGAACGAAATAACGTCGCATGGTCGTAAGTGCTCCAAACATCTGGCTGAGCTTAGGAAAGTGAGACTGACATAACTATAGGTAAAGCACCATGGCTGACCGCAGCTCCAGCAAGTGTAGCGTCTGGCTCTAAAACGCCATTCCTCGGAACTGGATATTCACCCGAGACTCTACAACCAACTGAATGCTCTAAAGCCTGGCTTCAGGACTTCAGGCCTGATAGATTCACCCACAATCATTGTGCGTCAGAAAGCACGTCAGCGGATTTGCACTCGCCACAATCCGATGGTGAAGATACTGTCGATTACTTGGCCTTTACCAGACCGAGGCCAAGCCGCGCGATCTTAATAAAGACTGCGGAAGGCGAAGGTACAGAACAGTCTACCTTCCGGAGGTGTGATCTTGATAACGCTGGCTGTGTCAATCCGTGGGATGTGGAGCACCAGCCCAACCCGGTTATATTCTCTCACTTGTCATCTTCAGTAAAAGTCACCCCGGCACAGAATATCGACGCGATCACAGCATGCGCTTCAAGTTCAGAGATGCTATCAACGCTTGGGGACTGTATTGGGATGAGTGCCTCACATGTGATCAGCCTCAACGATCCCCCGGCCCAATGCGCAACTCCTACAACACTCGATCCAGGCGGCACCTTATTGACACTTCATCCCAACATGACTGGATCTTCGGATGATACGATACTTTCGCTGGGCTCTAGTACATCAGAGCTCTCAGTCGAATCAATATCACCTGTCACAGCAACTTCTGGAGAATTCTCGCTGTTCAAAGGTAAAGAACGGTGCTTAGACAAGCTTGGGACGGTCGAGCTCATCAACTTCGCTGCGATTACACCGGTGAATCAGTCCTCGAAAGACTTCGATAATGACATCACAGTCACATTGTCATTTGATTCCCATGTCTGGACGGACCGCGGCGCGATGGATCTTGCTTCGCAAGCATTACCGCTTTCATTACTACCCAGCGTGTCGACGCCAGCGAAAGCTTTAGTGTCTCCCTCGATATCAACCGAGATAAGCACTGATGCAACGTTCCCATGCCCTCTATGCTACCTTAGCTTTCGAACACCAGGCTTGAGGAGGTACGTAGTCTAGATGCACAAGTAATCGTGACATCCATGCTAACAAGAGTCTTGTCAGAAACCATCGGAATCGTAAACACAACCTCCGATACCCTTGCGCAATTTGCAGCTCAAGATTCGGATTACGAGCAGACCTCCAACGGCACAAAAATAACGTCCACCGATACGATACTCACGTCATTCCCACGAAACTGTTTCGATGTCCAAACATCGACTGTACGACTCCTGGAAAGACATACACCCGGAAAGACAACTTCACACGACATGTGCAGCGTTGTGAGAGGACCATTGCTACAGCAAATCCAACGAGAATTTGAGTTTGGAAAGTTATAAGGGCGACATTTGCACCGAGAACTACGAGTCGAGTACCGAACAATACCCGCATCCGGTCTGATGAGGCACACCGAGTGTAGTTGAAGGACTCAAGTTTGAATCAATCACAGTCTCATGTTCTATCAGAGGCGTAACAGTGAACATACTCGCCCACTTTGGCGAGTGCCATTAATATGGCTATACTTAGGCATTGCGCGTCTCCGGAACTTTATCATAGGGCAACCGTTCAAAGCGGAGACGTGCATATGCCGCCTCTCACGATGTGTGCCAATAGAAGACAGGAGAGATATCATCTATCCTGACTTCATGAGGGCAATCTGCATCTGCATGATGTGCAAGATGGGGTCCTTCGAGTTGGTGCGACCTGCACCTGTGATTGGCTCGAACTCAGCAGTATGCGTATGCCTCACTCAGCCTCATGGTCTATCCACATACTTTATAATTACGACATGGTCTGTCTCTGGCCGCCCCGAAATGTATGTTTCATTGTTGAGTATCCTTACACAGACGACATGGCCCCCATCGCCTTCGCTGTCCGCTCCGCAATTCTGCATGATGCGCCTTCTCGGAGCAAAAGAGCCTTACCTGCGGCCAACGCCCCTTCAATCGTAATCGGCGTCACTGTCTTGGTCACTTGCTTTGCCGTCGCTATTGGAGCAACATGCTGGCTATTCTGGTGGAGGAGAATAAGGGGGAGGAGGACGAAGCCAAGCTTGCCCGAGCTTGAATCAACAACTGTTCGACACGAACTCAAATGTAACTCAATCGTGTCTGAACCCACATCTGAGCACACACCCGAGTTTGAGCCCGACGTACACGAGCTACCTGCAGCCCCAAGATTAGTAGACACTAAGGCTGCCCTACCACCTGACTACTCGGAATCACTACGGTGCCAACACCCAGCCCTATATAATGCTTCGGCGTCTCATCCGACGCTTTCAACGACACTTGACTCTTCAAGGTCTGAAAAGCGTAGTGCCATCGAGCGGATACTTGGTATCAATACAAGGGTTGCCTTGGAACGATTATCAATTTACGGAGGTAAGTGTGGCCCTAGCTACTCTACTGCATCCGCTGATAAGATACATGCAGCCCGACCAAGCCTATACATTGCTCCTGCAAGTATTTGGAATAGCGACAGATCGGGTATACCGCAGAATCAAAAGCCTGAACAAGCTTATGTTGATCCATATGAAGTCGAGTTTGGTCCAAACCCCGTGATTTTTCCAACACCACCTCCAGGTCCATCGAACAAACCAGACGCGGCTTTACTCACCGAGGCGACTCCATTTATCGAGGCGCTTTCTCCGAACGCTGAGTTGCAAACGCTCGGCGATCACGTCACGTTTGATTTTGATCTGCCGCTACCAGAGACTGAAATGGCTGATCCCAATGAGCTCAATATGCGCCACCCAACGCCTGATGGTAGCAAGACGTTCATCAACGCCATACAAGGAGATGTCACGTCGCCGCTGAGTCTTGGTCTCGCACAAGCTCATCCAGACGATGAGATGGAAATGCAAATTGACAGTGCAAGGAGTCCCAGTATCCATCGGGAACCGGTATTTGACGTAGTCTCCAGCTATAGTCTCAACCCACAAGCAGAAGACCCTGTTCCAGCATTTGTTCTAGCATCCACCCCCAATCTGGCACCACGCAAGAGAGAAGCAGGCCGCGAACTAAGCCGGTTAGAGATCAACAGCGCAAAGACCGAGCCATTCGACAACCACGACCGCACGAATACCGATCGTTCAAGACAAAGACGGCGTCACCATCAACGCGCGTTGATGCCCAAAACGTCGTCACCACGGACCGCGAATGTCACAGCAAGTCCGCAGTCCAGCAAGTCAACGCCTGATTCTGCAATGACATACTTGAGTTTCGCGTCCACAGCCACACAGGTCCCCTCACCAGGTTCAACAGCTATCACAACACCGTCTATAGGAGCCGACTCCCCCGCGACGCCATTCACCCCGTCAGACAACAAACCCATCTGCCGAGACTGTGGGCAGGTGTTCAACACCCCAGGCCAGCAAAAGTATGTACTCTCCCTGCCTGCTCCACCTCAAAAATATCTTCAATGATTAACCAAACCCATACTAATTCTATCCCTGCAGAAAACACTACAATCGCCAACACAATCTCCGCTTCGTCTGCGACATCTGCTTGCGTCCTTTCGGAGTGCGAGCCGATCTCGAACGCCATGAACATACAGTACATGAGGATTTATTCCGGTCCAACAAGCGATTCTGGTGTACTGTACCTGGCTGTAAGACGCCGAATCTGGAGTGGACACGCAAGGACAACTTTATGAGACATGTAAGGAGCTGTGAGGCGAGAGCGGCGAAAGTGGCGGCAGTTCATGGGGAAAGTGAGAAAGGGAAGGAACGAGCTTTGGGTATGGAATGAATTCCTGTAGCTATGTTCGGCATGTGTATGGATCGAGATTAATATGGCGAGGCTGAAGCCACCTGCAGTCATGATTGGGTCGCCTGGCCACCCGTGCCAAGCGATATCAGTATGCCGCCGATTGTGTGCACTGCCTTGCACTAGAAGTCCCAGTTCCCTCGCCGCAGAGTATTACTTCAAGTTCGATTGCTCTACCACAATAATCAGAAGTACTTCCGATTTCGAAGCAAGCGATCATGATTCGACACCCTAACCTCGTGGCTCTTCTAATAGTCATCTTCATCTCGTTCGTAAGCGTCGTACTGGTTGTGTCCAGCATATCTGAGTTCTCAAAGAATTCGTCCAAACGGGTAGCATCTCCTTTCTATGTTGTTTTCATTGTCGCATTTCTATTCGTGGTAGTAACTTCTTTTGGCGCGTGTTTTGGTCTTCACCGATGGGAAGCTTATCAAAGACGACGAGCCGAGTCCCGCGATGCATCTCTAGAATCTGAACGAGCTCTCGATGTGCCACGCACACAGCCCAGAAAAAGAATCACATTGAGTCCAAAGCAAATTTTGGGACTAGACGACGTTTCATATCTAAGCGGATTACCAGACCATGAACGTAAGTCTTACAGTGCACGAATTCCACTCTAGCAGTATTGACAGCAACATTCCCAGTGCACAATAACGCATCACACGTCACGGTTTTCCCTGCCAATGGGTCCGCTCGATTTGATGGCAAGATATTAGACCTTCACAAAGAGCATGGGGTCAATCCCTGGGACGTCGAGTACCGACCCAATCCCGTGATCTTCTCGCACCTAAAGTCATCCTCTGAATCACTGCGGCCTCTGCTATCGGAACACGCAGAATCAAGCCCTGAGAGGTCATCAAGCGATAGCGAAACCACCCGCACTCCGTCGCTCGCAGAATCTTCTTCGTCGTCGAGTAACAACACCATCAACCTAAGCATTCTTTCAGACTCCGGATCGAGCCGAACATCTCACGATGGTCGATCTATCGATTTCAGGCCAAATAAGCCAGACAGTGCTTCCTGCAAGTAGGTCAATTTCCTGAACTCGTTGCGCATAAGCTAAAGCAAGCAGGCAAGCGCCGCACAGCCTTTTGTGGAAGGGCGACGATGGCCCCAGGGCACTAAGTCCAGATCACACACTATACGGAAACCAAGACGATTTCCTCCAGGTCCTTACTGTCTCAAGCCCTGCGATGTCTTTGTCATACGTACATAGCGACCGTGCGAATCTTGATGAGATCTCGTCGTATTCGGTGAACAGCAAGTCAACTACGACTGCACCTCTACTTGTACCTGTTGCCTCGTCAACCGCCTCCGCATCAACACCAAGCACCATCGAAGATGAGACAAGGCTACTATACGCATGTCCAGACTGCCCCAAGATCCTCCGTACACCGGGTCTACTGAGGTACACCTACTCTCCCACCCTTCAACACATCCCCTAACTTCCCCTCAGAAACCACTACAACCGTACACACAACCTCCGCTACACATGCAACCTATGCAACGGCATCTCCTTCGGTCTAGCAGCAGACCTAAAGCGTCATAAGAAACATGTGCATCAGCAAGGCATCGACGGTGACGAGATATACCGATGTACTATCCCAGGCTGCTCCACGCCTACCAAGATCTTCAGACGGAAAGACAACTTCAACAGACACATCAAGCGGTGTCGTAAACGGATTGGAAAGGGAAAAGGCAAAGAGCGTGCAGAACCCGAAGTCAAGGAAGAACAAGGTCCGTGGGAAGCGCATGTGAAGAGTAGGAATATGGGTATTTAACGTTTCGCGCACAATTATCGAATACAACATCCATCCCCAGCATAACCTCCACTCATAAGATCTCATAGCGGCGACAGCAGGCGCAGCACATAGCGTTGCCCATAGCCCATGCATTCGGCGTCCCGACATCCCTATGCCCACACATTCAAATGTACAACAGCGCGACTTTCCTCTTCAGAGGAAGTAGAAAAGCCAACGCCTCATCTGCCCCTTCTCTTCTCTTGCCTTCCTCAATCTATACCCTAATCTCGTTCTTCGTTCGTTGTGCTTACGGGGCAACAGCTGCCCCATGTGTCCCCGCGGTCTCTTTGATGGAAAAAAACAAATGCCTACAACGCCCGTTTCGCGCACACCTCTTTTTTCTCAGGGTGGTGGAACTATGCAACTTCGATGCGGTCGGATAAGGAGAGGAAGCGACAACCATGATGTGCGAAGCGTCGTCGCTGAAGATGTAGGAGGGACTGGCATGTATGAAGTCCAAGACAACACGCCAGAAAACGCCAGGCAGGAGAGAAGAAATCGGCCTCGGAAAAGAAAGTCTCCTGGGAAGACATCATCTACGGCAAGGGAACTCGTTGGAAGAAAGGGCGTTTTGTGTGGGCGTGACGTGAAAGAAGGCGGGGCAGGCGGAAAAAGGTGAGGAAAAAAGAGCAGGCATCTCAAGTATTGCTGATGATGACTCTGGCGCCTTCTTTACCCAGAACACCCCTCTCTTTCGCCTTGGGACTCCTGTCCCGGCCCTTTTTGCGACTGAGGAAGCCGAGCATTCCGGAGGGTTTCTCAGCTTGGGCATCTTTCTGTACGAGGGCGGAACTTTGGTTAGCCATCTCAGTCCAAGAACCGGTCTCGTTGAGAACTACCTGTACGCCTCCGCTGGTGCTGATGCTGCGTTGCGAGCCTCGCTGGCGGTTGTTCATCGGGCGGGAGAAGGAGGGTGTGGGGACTTCGGAACCGTCGTTGGGGAAGTAGTCGACGTGCTCGCCGCGTTGCGAGGTGGGTGAGCCGGTGTTGGCGGTCTGGTTCAGTATGTTGGTGGCAAGAGGAGGGCTGCCGTTGGGAGATTGCGTCGATCGGCCAGTAGCGGCGGAGCGTGTGGGATGGAGTTCTGCGTCTTGGGGATTGTTCGCAACTGGGCGACCCCAGGGATCTACTGACGGTGTGGGAGGTTGATCCGGTGCGCTTTGGTTGCTCGTCCTTGAGCCGCCGACGGAATCTTGGGGATCTACGACTGCGACGGCGGCAGGCGTTCGTTGGTCACCAGCAGTGGTGTAATTGAAGGGCTCGAAAAGGGTCTCAATCATCCTGTGCAGCTCTTCAGCCCTGATCTCCTGCTCAGTGGCATCGTCCTTGAGCGCCTCTCTGGGCTTCTGTCTCCGCGCTCTTGCCTCAAGCGGTGCTTCTTCCAACAACAGCTCCTCCAGATCGTAGGTGGCATCGAAGTTGGTCTTGTCGCTCGACGGGATAAAGACGGGCGGGATCTCTTTGCGCTCTAACGCGATGAAATCGATGGGACGGAAGAAGGGGTTGTCTGTGAAGGACTCGAATCCGATGGCGCCTATGCGCTTTGACCGGTTCTTCTCCAAGAGCGAGCTGATGGCATGTAGACAGGGCATGGATACGGGCGGACTGGTAACCGGGTATGTGGGCTCTCCCTTGGAGATCTTGGCGGCGAGAGAGTCGTGGCTGCTAGCCTCGAAGGGACGCTTGTTGTAGATGCACTCGTAGAAGAGCACGCCCAGTGACCACCAGTCGACTTCGCATGAGTATCCTTTGCCTTCGTAGACCTCGGGCGCGAGATAGGCCAGCGTGCCGGACTTGCTCGTCAGCGGCTTGGTGGGGACAAAGTCGGAAGCGACGTTCTGGGGATGTTAGTGATGGCCGGAGACATGATGAGGACCGAGCTTACGAAATCTGCCAGATGGACATGACCTTCGGAATCCAACAGCACGTTGTCTGGCTTGATATCCCTGTGTACGATGCCCTGCTGGTGGATGTAGCGCACAGCGCAGCCTAGCTGGGCTATCCAGAAGCGCACAGCCTCCTCTGTAAATGTCTTTCGCGAGATGTGGAAGCGCAGGTCACCGCCATTCATTAGATCGACCACAATATATCTGCCCTTGTCAGCCGCGTGCTAACTCATCGCTGGGAGGTATGACGTACAGGTATTCGATGTCCTGGAAGCTGTAGCGCAAGTTGCAGAGGAAGGGATGGTTCAGGTGTTCGAGCATGCGCCGCTCGCGAATGATGTTGCGGACGCTCTCCGAGCGTACGACTGTGACACGACGTCAGCTCGAGTAGGGCTGGGATGATGCACAGGGCATGGAGACGAACCTTCATCTTTGCGTATGTACTTGAGCGCAAAGGTGAGACCCGTATCTTTGCGCTCGACAATGCGCACCTTGCCGAATGCGCCCTTGCCGACGACTCGCAGCAGCCGGAAGTGGTTGAGGTTTACTGATGGTGTTAGTCTTGGTGGTCCATGGATGCTCTTCGACGCCCTTCTCTTAAGCCAGACGATGGCACGCACCTTGGTCGGTAAAGACGACGGGCTTGCCGTTGCTCTGACCCATTGGATGCTTCTATGGCAGACTGCCTGGAGAGTGGGAATGCGTGTCTAGTAATGCATCAGGCGACTGGGAAAGCTGGCCGGGGGGATCGGGTGGGGACGGGGCCGTGGTTGCGGGCGGTGGGCAGGATGGCAGGCTTGGGCGGGCGGGTAGTCGGGGATTATTAAGGCAGAAGCAACAGGTGTCGGACTCGTGATGGCAGTGAGCAGCACGTCGAAAGGAGGGCCCGACAGGATTGAAGAGGCACGTTTCGCAGGCGTGGCCCTTAGCGTCGGCAGGAACTAGCATGGGTAACACGTTTGAGTCGCATCCTTGCTTTCACACGAGTGGCTATCAAAGGCGACCGAACCCCCCCAGAGCTAAGCGTCGACGCTCCCTAGAGTCATGGCGTGCCAGCCACACCACAACGCCTGGCCGCACGATAATCGAGCGCCATGGCATGTCTAGATTTAGGGTTGGCCTTATTGGGGTACAGCTGCAGCACGCAACAGTCCCCCCGTCTGCCATGTGCAGTCCACCGGTCTCCCACGCGGAGCTGTCACGGGACGGGCACTCTATCTGAGCCCAAGGTTTCCGGGGTGGAGCGAGACGGACGTCGTCGTCTTGCTCTGCTCCCGTCTGATCTGCACTACCTAGCTAAGCTCGGACATGTGCTGAAACACATCTTCAACCACAAGGACGCTGCGCAGTCATAGCACGCGATGCATTTGTCCGGCGTTCGTGACAATTTCCTTCTGCAACCATCACGTCGATGCTGGCAGCAAACGGCCCTCTCGCCGATGTTAGCCTGTCTACAGCCTTCATCGTCGTTGACAGACCCCAGAGAGCCCTCGCGGAGCCGGCGCCGATTGGCGTCTCCTAGTTTCTTCTTTCTAGACCCGCTTTCTTCTACTAGGTAACAACGTAGAACCGTGCCACGGGCGACCACCTCTGCCTCCAGCCAGCTGCGGGTACTCAAGCCGCCGAGTCCACTCCACGTCAAACGGAATTGCTTTGGCATCCTTCGCGCAGCCTCGACGAAAAGTCCAAGAGAACAAACAGTCGCCAAGATGATCAGATACGTGCACCCTAGCAATGCAGGCGGGGAGAGTAGGAGCCAGTGCTCACATGCAGACCTCGACGAAGAGCGGCGGCGCATTGTATAAACTTTCAAATCTCTCCTCTATGGCCTAGGCGTAATAGTCTTGGCAGCCCCTCGCGCCTTCTCCGGGACTAACTCTCACTTCTCACTCCTCGCGACGAACACCACGGCCTCATTGTCATAGCATTCTTGTTCTCGGGACCTTCTGAGTCGACATGCATAAATCCCTGTCCACCACCGCTCCGGCCCGAACAGTTCCTCCCACTGACATAATGTTGCACGACACCTCATCAACCGTGGGCACAGACAACAGACCCTTTCGCGGATGCACTCCGCTGCAGTTGCACGTGTCTGTTCGCGTGCGCGTAGGGACAAAGTTTCGGCTGACTACACCCACACCAGGCTAAAGAGGTCGCGTTCTAGAAGACTTCCGCTTCCTCCGAACGTGCAGCAATGTGGACACAACCACGCGGCTACTGCGTGCTTCATGCAGCCAGGTGGGTTTCTTCAGCCTCGTCAGTACCTATTGCTGCAGTGCGCCCACCCTAGTGCTGTCTCCAAATCACCTTTGGATCCGGCTACAGTTGTGGCTCATTTCCCTAGACGCATACACCTCGTGTCGGTACCTTGATGCCAGGGCAACCCTTCGAACGCCCATCCTGCTTGCATGCGGCACAGCAAACTCCTGACGCAGCCCCCTATGCGTTGGCAGCCAATCTTCGAGCAACGGTATTCTACCCACAGCTTCCCCGTTCCCAAGGCCTTGTTGCTGGTTTCGCACCCGCGAAGCAGTCCAATGTCTGTCCAGTCAGTGGTGTTACGGCTATCGATCGCTGCTATCCAGTGTCTTGGGATCCAGCCTTACAGAAATGCGCTCGAGCGGCACAACCAACTCGAATACCACGAACATCAGGATCACGATGAGCTACCTCCTCTGCGACTCTCGCTTAATACAAGGATCCATTAATCTGCAACAGGCGGGCGTCAAGAGCCCCTTGGTGGTCCTCGGTTGCCTTCATTGGCTGGACCTACATCCCGCAATGCTGACTACCGAATGCATCACATCCGGAAACTCCAGTCTCGTACTAGCGCTATTATGCATCTGAGGACCACCCACAGGATGTGAAGCACTTATCTTCGACATTCCAGCTGAGCTCGCCCTGCGAGCAGTGCTTTTGCCTATTCTTAGCGCCATCGGAACCAGAGCCTGTTTGCACGGACTACATATAAGAGTGTGTGGCGTTTGAATAACGTCCCGCGCAGAGTGGTCCTGCAATGCCTGGACTCATGCTGCGGAGAAGATGCTGGAAGCCTTCCGCAGAACCAAGTTGGGGGAGTCGATTATGTCGCCA